GAACCCAGGAAGAACCTCTGTTGAAAGTAGGGCTGGATTTCCTCTACTGCTGGGATCTGAGCGCATGCAGGTTGGATGCTACACAACCCTGGATTACATCATTGGTGACAATGGCATTTCCAAAGGGAAGCACTTCTGGGCTTTTCACGTGGAAGCCTATTCATACCTGGTGAAAGTGGGAGTTGTTTCTAGCAACAAGATACAGAAATTGTTCCATAATAGCCATGATGTGACCAGCCCAAGGTAAATTGTAGTCTTGTGTTTAATACATGTTTTATATGAGGAGATGGCTTTTTAAAAAATAAGAGTATGCTCTCAATTAGTACACAAGGTGAACCTAAACAGCGGAAAGTGGCTTGAAGGATAGAGTGTAAGCAGGCTGTCCTGTTCATCTCCTACTATTAGTAGAAAGATGTTCTAATTATCCAGAGTCCTATTTTCTTTCTTTTTGGGAAAGAAATCAGGTTCCTATAGATGTCAAGATATGTCAGTTAAAGCAAGAAAGTTAAAAAAAAAAAAAAGCATCAGTTGTGAGATAGAAGCAATGCTTAATTGTCAGTAGTAAGACTCTGCCTTAATTCCCTTAGCAAGCTAGGTTTGGCAGCTATTCAGTACAGTGTTCACTGTGCATTATCTGTGTACCTTTACTGTAGCTTGTGTCACGGTGGATTCCAAGTCACTGGCTTATCCCAGGCTGTATGCTTGCATACGGTACTGGAGTGCTACTGAGCACAAGCCAAAGCACAGTGGACAAACCAACAAAAACTTTTCCAGCTCTCAGTTACAGTTGTAGTAAGCCTCGATGTGTCTAGGAACTGTAGGCTGGGAGGCTATCTCCTGGGGACTCTTCACTTTTTCAGGAATCTGACAAATGTATTGTCTTTCTGCTGTGTAACATACTGAAAGTATAAAAATGCCAATGTCTTGACCTGCTTAAAGTTGGATGGAGCCTTTCTGCAAAGTAAGAGAGTAGATCCTGATTTCTTTATCCACACAAATATCTGGAAAACTTTAGCTAACAGACATCCAGCCTCCCCCCATACTCCCCGAAACCACAAACCTAGCTGTGGATTGTCTGCACATAAGAATGTGCACTTCTCCTGTCTGTCTTCATCTGGGGACAGAAGTAGGGTGAAAAGCATGTAGACTGAGCAAATCTGGTTACAGGCTCTCCCCAGGACCCAGCTGGGAAAACAGGGTTCAGGGAAGGCTCCAGGCAGAGCACTTTAAAAAACAAAACAAAACAAACCCAACAAAAGATCTCCCCAAACCTTAAATAACTACTTATTATGTTGTGAATTTTAAAGACCATGTAATACAACAGTGACATGGAAAACTCCTAGGACAACAGTAATGTTAAATGTATTTACTGGTGTCTTTTAACACTTTGTAAGTAAACAAAACAAATATTGTCTGTCATATTCGCTAAATTACTTCTCAAGTTAACTAATGTATTTCATTAACGATTGCCTAGCGTAAGTACATTTAGATACATCTGCTTCTTAGTAAAGTATTCTGTGGTCTTGTCGTCTTTAGTGTTTAGCTGTTATTAATTGTTTGAAGTGTCCCAAGTGAGTGTTCTCCACCTACTAAATCCATCTTCCCTCCTGGCTTAGATATATTTTTACCCCACAGTGTTTTTCAGGTGATTGTGTGGTGTTATCTGTGTTACAAAAATGTTTTCTCCAGCTCACATCACTGATCCCACTTCAGAATTTGACAAAAGCAAATGGTTATTTTTCTGTTCTAGATACGAGCAAGATAGTGGTCATGACAGTGGGAGTGAAGATGCCTTCTTTGACTCATCGCAGCCTTTCACACTGGTCACTTTAGGCATGAATAAGTTCTTTATCCCCACGACACCAGCTGCCCCCAAGGATCCAGCAAGCAGAATCCTTCCCCTGCCATCATGCTTGGGCATCTGCCTTGACTATGACAAAGGCAAAGTGGAGTTTTACGACGCAGGCCGTATGAAATGCCTTTATGAGTGCGAGGTGGACTGCTCTGCCATAATGTACCCAGCATTTGCCTTAATGGGTGGTGCTGCAGTTCATCTTGAGGAAGCTGTCACAGCAAAGCACGGGGAGTACCATGATGACATCTAGTGCTGTAATCTTCCCATTGCTGTTCTGAGATCGAAAATGAGAGCAGAATAATTCTATCTTAGTTTTCAGTCCTGATTAGTTACATTCTACCTATGTGTTGCTCACAAGCCTCTGGTCCATGCTTTTTTTTTTTTTTTAAAACAAATGGTCCAGACACTTTCCACTGGCGTTCTTCCAGGAACTCTCCTGCCTTTCTTGTGATCTGTGCGATGCTGTTCTCCACACACTTTCTTCCCATGGGGAATCAGGGAAGAAGTTTGGCTAGCAACCAAAATTACTCTTCAGGGGTAGAAATCTGCCTTTTATGTGACTTAAATAGTTACTTAAGCTACTTAAATAGTCAGTTTTGCATTTAATGAAATCAAAGCTGATAGCTGTGATTGCCGTTCTTCTAAGAAATCTGCCTGAATGCCCCTGAGGGGTCAGATGCTTTCCAATTACCCCCTAAGCACCAGGGGTTGGGCCTTTCAGCATGAAATAACATTTGCAGAAATAAAATACAATGCAGGGAGAAATCAGAACTGCAGCTGAACATTTAGGTTGTATTTGGAAAGAGGAGGGTAAACTAGAGTCTGATTGCATGTCTTATACCTTTAATGTGACTGTAAGCTAAAACTTTAATTCTTAGACACCTGGTGTCATATAGTTGGTGCATAATGGTAAGTTTCTGTACTCTTCCAGGCTTTCACTGTAGGCTATATAAAATATATAAAGTGCAATTCTACCTTGAACATCAGACTTTAGAGTCCAAAATCAGAAGCGTTTGCATGTGTTGAGTAATAGTACCTGGTATTTAGGCAAAAGCAAATGAGTTACTGACATGAGTAATGATATGCAAACTTCTAAAAAAAACCCACAGGTATTTCTTTTAATACTTGTTTGTATAAGTTTTTGATCTAGTAGCAGCTTGGGTTTTTTTGGTAAGAATGTTAAAAATGCACTGATTAAGTTTTGAAACCCAATTTCTGCCTTAAAGGATGTTGTTTCCCCTTAAACTTCTGTTCCTCTCATGTTAAAAGCTGTATCGCATAGTAGTTTTTTATAGAACCACAGAACAATTTGGAAGGGACCTTTTACAGATCATCTGGTCCAATGCCCTTGTGATGGGCAGGGACACCCCCCACTAGCCCACGTTGCTCAAAGCCCCATCCAACCTGGCCTTGAACACAGCCAGGGAGGGGGCAGCCACAGCTTCTCTGGGCAACCTATTCCAGTGTCTCACCACCCTCACAGAGAAGAACTTCGTCCTAATATCTAATCTAAATCTACCCTACCTATCTCTACAGGCCTTGGTAAAAAGTCTCCATCTTTCTTTTAAGCCCTCTTTATATACTGAAAGTCCATAATGAAGTCTCCCCAGACTCTTCTTTTCTACAGGCTGAGCAACCCCTACTCCCTCAGCCTTTCTTCACAGGAGAGGTGTTCTAGTACTCTGGCCATTTCTGTGGCCCTCCTCTGGACCCACTCCGTGCTGGGAGCCTCACAGCCGGATGCAGTACTCCAGGTGGGGTCTCAGAAGACCAAAGTGGGAGAATCACCTTCCTTGCCCTGCTGGCCACCCAGCAGCCCAGGATGCAGTAGGCTTTGGGCTGCAAGTGCATATTGCTGGTTCACGTTCAATTTTTCATACACCAGGATCCCCAGGTCCTTCTTTGCAGGGCTGCTCTCCATCCCCCAGTCTGTATTGATACGGGCGATTGCCTAGACCTAGGTGCCGGACTTTGCGCTTGGCCTTGGTGAACCTCGCGAGGTTCTCGTGGGCCCACTCCTCAAGCCTGTAAAGGTCTATTTGGATGGCATCCCTTCCCTCCAGCAAATGAACTGTTCAGCTTGGTGTCATTTGCAAACTTTCTGAGGGTGTGCTCAATCCAACTGTTTATTTTGTTCATGAAGATATTAAATAATATTGGTGCCAGTACAAACCCTCGAGGGACACCACTCATCCCTGGTTTCCACTTGGAAATTGAGCTATTGACTGTAACTCTTTGGACATGGCCATTCAGCCAATTCCCTATCCAGCTATCCATCCATCAAACCCATCTGTCAAATTCAGAGGTAAGAATGTTGTAGGGGATTGTTTCAAAGGCCTTACAGAAGTCCAGGTATATGACATCTGTAGCTCTTCCCTTGTCCACTGATGCAGTTGCTCCATCACAGAACGCCATTAGGTGAGTCAGGACAACTTGCTCTCAGTGACCCTGTGTTGGCTCTCTGTAATCACCTCCCTATCTTCCATATGTTTCAACCTGTCTTCCAGGAGGATCTGTTACATGATCTCACTGGGGATGGAGGTGTACTGCATCTGTTTATAGAAATCCATGTAAAAAAAACGTTTGGGTACTTGCACTGTTAACTTGTGTTGTGGAAAAATAAGGATCTAAAGTGAAGGATGTTTCTAATACTTACTTGGTGCTTTCTAATTTGGGGATATGCTTTCTAATTTGGGGATAGCATTGCATCTTGATGAATGTGTGTGAAGTATGCTTACTAAGTACATGTATACAGCTGTAGAGGTATCAAATGGGACCTGATGATCACAGTACACTTAAATGAATGTATGTCATAATGCAAAACTTTTGTATGCTTTGCTGTCTGAACTGTTGTACTGATCTGACCTGGAGTCTACTCCTCCCAGTGTCCTCTCTCCTAAGCCCCTGTGTGGTGGCCACCGTCAGAAGAAATTGACAGAAATGGTAGTTGGCAGAGATGTCATCTGCACCCAGGTGAGCATGACAGCCCTTTCGGGGCTAGAAAGGCCCAGCAAGGGCAACTTCTTGTCTGGGTCTCACCTGCAAACATTTCTGCCTTAGTAAGGCTGTGTGGAAGTATGTTCTGCAGCTTCGTTGTGTGCTTGTGTGAAAAGCACTTTGATGTCCCAGGCAGCAAGTGTGAAGCAGTGGGTATCTTCTGGAACTTTGTCCTTCAGGAGAAATGGCAAGTTTTCTTTTGCTAGTTATCCTTTAGGTAATTTCTTTTTGTAATAGATTGTTGTCATAACCTTTCTTTCCCATTATGCCCTCCTCTTCATGTTCCCTCTTGCTGGATGGAAGCCATTCTGTACTGGTGTGCATCCTGCTGCCCCTCTTTATCCTCTTGCCTGCTGAGGCTGACTGAAGGAGCTCTCCTTACAGACACCCTGTTGTGAAGGATGACAGAATTCTGGGTTTTCCTTCTTTCCATAGTCCTAAAACTGTATCTGCCTTTTTTGGTCGATACCTACTATTAAGCTGACATTTACGAAGTTTCTTCTGCAGTGTTTTCCTGATGGTTAGTCATGAACAAGCTGTGCACATAAGAGTTTCCCCACCTTGTGTGTTATTTTGCATTTGTGGATGTTGAGTTTCATCTGCTCATTTACCTAGTCACATAGTTGTGAGGGCCTCCTCCAGCTTTTCTGTCACTTCTAGACTTGAGTGTTCCTGAGTAGCTTCATAGGTAATACAAATGTGATCATTTTTTTGTTTTCTTGCTTTTCCAGATATTTGAGCAACTTAAGTTGTAGTGAGAAGTGGCAAATCTTTCTGCTGTTAAAATTTATTGTTCCTTCCACTTTTTTTCCCTCAGTTACTTATTAAACCATGATTAGCTAGTCAAGCACTGAAAACTTTTGCGTGTTAGTACACTCTGAGTACATGACTCATGCTTGTATGAGACCAGTAGTCAAACAGACCCAGGAGACAGGATTCTCTCTTCAGTAGCTGTGGCATCTCCCATTGTATAATCACCATTTGTCCATTCACCTACCAAACCTAGTATTGGCTTAAAGCTGTAGATTATACGGTTGAGCTTTCTAGTTTGTTTTTCCCAGACCAAATCTCCTTCCACAGAGAAATGTGTCATTTTTGATTCCTCTGTTCAGGAGCGGGTCTAAATTAAGAGGTTTTATGTCGTGGTTAGCACTTCGGGCATTGGGATTCTTTATAAGCACCTGGACCAATATCATTAGGCTTTGGCCTTTTGTTACTTTAGGGAAATATTCATAAAATGAACACTTATCTTGCATAGGAAGACAGTCTCTCAGACTCATTTATTTAAAAAAAAAAAAAATCAAATTTTACTGGTTTGAGAAAATAGAAGGAAAAAATTAAAAATTGGGGTTTTTTCTATTACAGCTTTATCTTACATTCATTTAAGATGTGCTTTGCTATGCAATTACTTATTCGACTGGACAGAGACTGATGCTACTTTAAACATTTATCTACCTTTTGATATGTATATTTGTATTTATCTCATTCTGAATTTAAAAATCAATTTGTCTTTCGGTGTTACTTGAATACTTAGGATGCATTAATTACAGTACTCTATGGTGCTTACTCCAGCTTATTAAATAAAAAACCTCAATGTCAGAGGCACTGACACCACACTGTCAGGTTTTTTCCACTACAGTGGACGTGTCACCTTTCAGAAACACAGTTCAGCAGTACTTACCTATCCAGATACTTATTTTTCCAGAACATGTTTCTTCCTATGAAACAGCACTTTACAATGTAGACTAAGCTAAGAATGGTGTGGTTTTGTGTGGATCTTTGTGCAATATAGCTGTTTAGTGACTACTGTGTGATTTGCAAAGCTTCAAGCAGGTGTGAATCATGTAGACACTTTTTAGATATCTAAAGCTTTAACAGAAAGGCCTTGTTTAAAAATATTCTGAAATGTAAATGTGATGTTTTGTTGGTGTTTTTTTTTTTTAAATAAAAGTTGAAAATACAGTAGTTCTGTCATTCACATCATTACATCCCAGCTCTCAAGCACCCTGGTTGAAGTAATATTTTTTTACAATAGATGATGACAGGTGACTTGCGGAGAGAAAGCACAGCTTTTAGTTCTTACGGCTGCCCATACACCAGTACCTCTAATTTTAGGAGGACTAAAGAGTCTGGTTTGGACTAACTGCCACATCAGGCTTTTTTTTAAGATGCTGATGTTAAGAACTCGCTGCCTGAGGCTCCCATTCCACTTAGTCGAGAAAAATGTGTGTCCAGAAGGAAGCTGGATCTTGG